TATAAGTAAACAGTATTTTTTAACCATGGGAGGGAAAGACAAAAATCCTGGGAGTTAGACTGTCTAGTTAACTTATCTAGTATTTTGCAAAAAAGCTTGTAAATTGAAATATTCTGAATTGTTAATTGTATATAAGAACCACTTTTTTTGGAAATTCAATTGCTACTGTACCTTGGTCTTCTAACTTTGAGTTTTTTTAGTCCCCTCATTAGGAACTTATTTTTCCAGAACTTCAGTTATAATATATGAATAATTTGCATGTTGCTGGTTTTATTTTGCATTACTCTGTTTCTCACTCTGTTCTGGATTCCTTTATGTGGATGTCCACCCCCATAACTAGAAAACATCTGTATTCCGTTGTATACGTTCTAATCTTCCTCTTCTTCTGAACTCTAATATTCAGACATCTCACAGGCATCTCAAGTTTAACTTGCCTAAAGTGAATCAGATTTTTTCCTCTCAACCTATTTCTTCTCTTCAAACGGCATCTTCCATCACGTTGCAGAGTCAGAAATTTGGGTATTGAGTTCATCTCCACATTCTTGACATCGGTTAAATCTCCAAGCCGTGTCTTCCTCTTCAACATCTTTCAAGTCCAGCTACTTTTCTCCGTTTCTATTCGTTTTTTAGCATGTCTCCTGAAATTGTCAGCTAACAAATTTTCCCATCTTCACTCTTGCCCTTCCCCAATCCCTTTTCCAGATAGCAGCCTGAGTGGTTCCTGGAATGCGTAAATCCAGTCATCTCTACCCTGCTTCAACCATTGTAGTTGCTCTCAAGAGAAAGTGAAATCTTCACGTGGCCTGCAAGACCCCGAATGCCCCTATTCTCCTTTTCAGTGGCGTCTAGCAGCATTCTCTCCTTTGCTCATGCCCTGTGGCCATGATGTTCTTTCAGTCGTCTCCACTGAAGTACCTGTGGTAACCATTTGCCTCTTACAACAGTGAAAATTCTTAAACACTTTCAGTTTTTCCCTAATATTACCCAGACTTCATCTACTGCTCTTCGGGTCCTTCTGCATGTTTCTCTATTTTTCTTTCCTAGCCAGGAAAATCTGTGTAAGTCACAAATGCTATTCTCTTCCTGGAACACCACAGCTGTCTTTTCCTATGCATATGTACAATTTTCCTCTTCAAAAGTGCTTTAGTGTTGTCTGTTTGTAAAACATATGATCAAGGGATTAATTTTCCTTTTTTTTTTTTTTTTTTTTTTTTTTTTTTTTTTTTCCGTGTCCGGCAACGGATCGCAACCCTCAGTGTTGCCCCCGTACCGGACCGGGGACTGGCAACGGGATTGCAACCCTCGGTGTTGCTCCCACGCCCCGCTCAGCCAGTGAGCGGGAACCGGTCCGCATGTGGGATCCGAACCCTCGGACGGGAGCGCCGCCGCGCTTCCCAAGCGGCGCACTATCCAGTGCGCCACCGGGCCGGCCCTTAATTTTCCTTTTGCAGCCAGACCTCTTTCGAGGAGCCTTTTAAATTCTTACAGAACATGAAGTTAGTTCGGTAAGTTGGTGCTGAAGCTTAGGATGCAGTACAACGTCTGTCTGATGTTTTATTAATTACATTTTGTCTTACATTCTTTGTTTATTCCCGTATAAAAGGATAGTACCTTTTTCAGTACCTGGCATTGCATTAAGCATTATTTCATTTTTACCTCATGACAATCATGCACAATAGGTTCTATTACTGTCACCAGTTTACAAATGAGGAAACTAAAGCTTTGAGAGGTTAAATATCTCACCTAAGGTAAGAGGTAGAGCTGGTACTAGAGTTTGAGTGTCTGATTCTTTGCTTACTTTATAATTATTGTTGTAAAAGTAGGGATTCTAGGGGCCGGCCCGGTGGCGCACTGCTACAGTGCGCCGCTTGGGAAGCGCGGCGGCGCTCCCTCCGAGGGTTCGGATCCCACATACAGACTGGTTCCCGCTCACTGGCTGAGCGAGGTGCGGGTGCAGCACCAAGTGTTGCGATCCTGTTGCCGGTCCCGGTCCGGTACGGGCGCGACACTGAGGGTTGCAATCCGTTCCCGGACACGAAAAAAGACAAAAAAAAAAAGTAGGGATTCTATGAGGCTTGAAAAGCAAGATCAGTATCAGGCTTTGTAGGTTTGTTTTGCAGCATGATGGTACCTGTTAGAAGGGGACCAAAGAAAGTGGAAGGAATTAACAACCTTCTATTTACTTCACCTTCAGCCCTGCTTTTCTGCAGTCACCTGCTGTTCTTGTAGAAGCCTGTTGTAATTCCTGCCTTTTCTGTATTTGCAGTGCCTCCTCACATTTCCTTTTATTCCTATTTAACATCTTTATAATCTAGATGACCAAGATCAAATACTCCTGCCTTCATAAAGCCTTTCTGTATCATAGAACTCTCCCAACACCATTGATATCTCTCTTGCAATTACCTATTTTGACTTTATGTTGTGTACTAGACTCAATTTTTTTCTACTAGATCACATGTTATTTTCTTTTCCTGTTTTTTAAAACCACTTATTGAGGTATACTGACATATAATAAACTTACAATATTTAGGGTATTCAATTTGTTGAGTTTCAGCATACATACATACATACATATATTTATATATATATATATATACTTATGAAACCATCACAACAATCAACATACAATACTTTACCCTATCCACAGGGGGTATGTTCCCAGACCCCCAGTGGGTGCCCGGAACCACATATATAGTACAGAACCCTATGTAGACTGTGCTTTTTCCTGTACATATATGTCTATGATGGCTTAATTTATAAATTAGGCTCAGTAAGAGATTAACAACAATAACTAACAATGACAATTATAACAATATGCCAACATCACTACTCTTGAACTTTGAGCCATTGTTAAGTAAAATAAGGTTTATTTGAACATCATACTGCCAACAGTCAATCTGATTACTGAGAAAGCTGCTAAGTGAGCATCTACAGCTCAGAGATGCTGGACAAAGGGATGATTCATGTCCCAGCCAGGAGAGAGCGGAATGGCGTGGGATTTCATCACACTGCTCAGAATGGCATGCAATTTAAAACTTATGAATTGTTTATCTCTGGAATTTTCCATTTAATATTTTCAGACCATGGTTGACCGTGGGTAACTGAAACCACAGTAAGTGAAACTGCCATTGAGGGGGGACTACTGTACTTTTAACATTTCTGTCACCCCTGAGAGTTTCCTCATGGCCTTTGCAGTTCACCCTACCTCAGAACCAGTGTAACCATGTGATTTGCTTTCTGTCACTATAGGTTGATTTGCATTTTCTAAAATTTTATAGACTCATAAAGTATGCATTATTTTTGGTCTTGCTTCTTTAGCTCAGCATAATGATTCTGGGATTCGTCCTTGTTATTATGTATATTATCGACTCATTCCTTTTTTTTTTTTTCTTTTCCTTTTTGTCTTTTTTTGTGACCGGTAACGGTATCGCAACCCTCGGTGTCGCGCCCGCACCGCGCTCAACCAGTGAGCGGACCGGTCTCTATATGGGATCCGAACCCTCGGCGGGAGCGCCACCGCGCTCCCAAGTGCCGCACTCTACCGGTAGAGTGCACCACCGGGCCGGCCCTTCCTTTTTATTATGGAATAGAATTCCATTGTATGAACAAACCACATTTTGTTAATCCGTTTACTTGTTGATGAACATTTAGATTGTTTCCAGGTTTTGAGTATTGCAAATCAAGCTGCTTTTAATCTTTGTGTATAAGTCTTTGTATAGGCATATGTTTTTATTTAACTTGGATTAATACTTAGATGTAAATTGTCTGAATCATATGGTGAGTATATATTTAACTTTTTCAGAAGCTGCCAAACTGTCCCAAAGTGAGCATACCATTTTATATTGCCACCACAGGGTGTGCTATATTGTTCCATATTCTCACCAACACTTGGTATATCCATCTTTTAATTTTTAGTTATATAAATTAGTGTGTAGAGGTATATTATTGTATTTCTTTGATGATAATGACATTGAACATCTTTTCCTATGGTTGCTGGACATTTTGTGAAATGTCTGTTCAGATCTTCTGCCCATGTTTTTTTTTTTCACTTGGTGTGTTTGTCTTTTTATAATTGTGTTGTAAGCATTCCTTATATATTCCAGATACAAGTTTTTTAATAGATGTGAATATTTTCTCTGTGGCTTGCCATTTCATTTCCTTAACTGTATTTTTTGAAGAGCAGACTTTTGAATTTTGAGGAATCCAATTTGTTAATTTTTAAGGTTTGTGGTTTTTGGGTACTAAGAATCTGTTGCCTCAAGGTAACAGAGATTTCCTCCCTGTCCCATATTAAGTCTTAAAATAGTTTTAGACTTTACATTTAGGTTTGTGATCCATTTTGAGCTAGTTTTTGTCTATCATTGGAGTTGAGATTCATTTTCTTTTTATTCCACATGGATATCTAGGTTTGTGACCCATTTTGAGCTAGTTTTTGTCTATCATTGGAGTTGAGATTCATTTTCTTTTTATTCCACATGGATATCTAGGTTTGTGACCCATTTTGAGCTAGTTTTTGTCTATCATTGGAGTTGAGATTCATTTTCTTTTTATTCCACATGGATATCTAGGTTTGTGACCCATTTTGAGCTAGTTTTTGTCTATCATTGGAGTTGAGATTCATTTTCTTTTTATTCCACATGGATATCTAGGTTTGTGACCCATTTTGAGCTAGTTTTTGTCTATCATTGGAGTTGAGATTCATTTTCTTTTTATTCCACATGGATATCTAGTTGTTCTGGTACCATTTGTTGAAAAGACATTTCCTTCCCCATGGAATTGACTTGTCAATATCAAGCTCCTCAAGTTTATATGTAGTGTTTTATTGATATCTCAAGTTCAGATTTTTTTGTTTTTGTTATTTGCAGTCAAGGAGACAAGTAACCTTGCATGATTTGTCCTAGGTCATAGGACACTGATGGTAAATTTCTCCAAGTTATGAGAGTTCGATTTTTAACCGACTTATTGTTTTCTAATTCAGTATGATATCATTTTGTTTTTAGGTGTTACACATAATATTGCATTACTTCGAGAAGTGATAATCAACTCACGTTTTGTAAAAGGAGACATCAGTACTAAATTTCTCTCTGATGTATATCCTGATGGCTTTAAAGGTATGTATGCACTGGAATATTTTAGTGTATTTAAGTCATTATTTTTATGCTTATTTGAAATTAAGGCCTTTTGGCTTATAATATATTTGATTTATTAACCTATTTAGAGTATCTTGACATTCAAGATGTTGAGTGTTCTTAGGTGACTCATAAGTGTAGTAATCTGCAATTTTGTTGAGTAAGTCTGTTCTGTGAGTATAGTGTTTGGGAGCACAACATTGTAGGCCCATCATCAGTCTCCTGGAACTTTTGGTTTCTGAAAGTCTAATTGGACTTGTATTCCCTACTGATACGGGTTTATACAGGAACTCTTCTTAAGTGATTAAAAAAAGGTATCTTTATGAAAAATAGTACTGAAAATTTCAGAAAACCAGATGCTACTCCTATTAATGAAAATGAAGATGTCTGAGATGATGGTTTTTATTCTGAAGAGTCAAGTTTTGAATAAAGTAATGAGTGGAGTATGAAATTTAGTGTGGCAGAGTTGTCAGTGAGTGTTTCCAGGTAGTAAAAAAAATTGCTCATCAAGTGAAAGATAGAGAAAACCCTTTTGTGAGCATTGAAAATATGGTTAACGTAATATTAAGAAACCAATAGGACTTACATGAGACTTAATAGAAATATTATTCATGTGAAAGATAGAAGCCTTTACAATGGGTGTGTATGAAGATTAGATATTCTCTTACAAATTTCAATTGTTCTCTATATCTATTTAAACTGTTTTAGTATATAAAATGAGTCCTGTAGTCACAGTAGGAGCTATATATAGATTCAGGTCAGCTTCATGTTGTTGAACTGTTGAATGCATTTACAAAGCAGTTTTTAACTCAGAATTATAACTCAGGGTTTTTGTAAGACTAATTGGAGATGACTGATTTTAATGTTCTTTCAAAACTTTAATGTTACAGAGTTTTATTATTAGTACCAAGGGAAAGGAAGAATGTCTATTATTTGAGATTTTAAAACAACTAATGAGTCATCATATTCTTTTTCCTGAACTTTTGAGTTTTTAAAAATACAAAATAAAATACCACCTTAAAATAATATTTTTATTTGTTGGTTTCATGAGGTCAGGAACTACTTAGGTCATTGCTTTTTATTGTATTCCTAGCAACCAAAACATAATTGACACTAGTTAAATACTTTTTGAATTAATGGAAAGAATCTTATCCATAGTATTGATGAGAAGAGGCTACATTGTATATTTTTAATTATCTGTACATGTAACAGATAACCAGTTCATTCTATTTCGACCCTTACATTTTGGTGTTTTGTCCTGTGTAAAGTTTTAATATAAAATTGTAGTAAGTTGTGAAGTGGACTTGGGACTTCCATATATTTTTATGTCTGCCTGGCTAATGCATTTGTGAAGGTGATATCATAGAGACAGTAGACAGAAGGAGAAAAAAGGTAAAAAACTTCAGGAAACCTTTAGAACAAACATTGTATGCATGCGTGAGTATTTATTTATACATACAATACATTTATGTATGAGTCTGTATATATGGTAAAATATCTCGTAGGAGAAGAAAATAGGGTATTTAAAATTTCTAACTGGGGTTGATGACTATGTGCTGTACATATAGCAACAATGGAAAATGTTCCAAATTCTCTAGATAAAGGAATCCCCTTTAAACTCAGAAATTTATTTAAAACTTAAATATTGCAGTTTTCCATTATATGCTCAGTGTATTATTACTTTTTTTTGGGGGGGGGTAAGGAATTATCAGCATGGTCTCTGTTATTTTGTTTCTTATGCTCATACCAGATAGGAACACAATTTTAAAAATCATCATAAGTTGTTATAAGGGCCTTTAGCTAATGACCAGTAAAATAATAAAGCCAGGATTTGATCCTAGGCTTTTCAGCTCCTGTCTGAGTACACTTTCAATTGTGCTAGGATGTGAATTCATAAATCAAAAAGTTTTCAATCAGAGTATACTATGTATTGTCATATTGCCTCTAAGGACTTTAGAAGTACACACCTCTACGAGTATACTATTCTTAATGTCTACCTCTTATTTTATTCCCTCATATTATTGTCATGTCAGTTCTTTCTTCTCTTAATGACTACTATTTCTCATCCTTCTTCTTCAGATTACTCTATTTCTCCTTCCCCATTTTTACTCCAGAGCAGGTCTTAGGTGAATTAAACTGTATCATCTTTGACTGTTTGATATATCTGCCCAAAAGTGGCATCTGCAGTTAATCCGGGATCTTCTCCATATGTTTGAGACCAGGTCATTTTGCCCCTTTGGGATTACCCATCTGCTTCCCATCTGTCCAGCTATCCTAGGCATTGTTTGTAGGCAAGTGCTTGTTTTTATGACTGCATTAGAATTATCTATTATATATGTTCATTTTCCCAAATTTATTTGTAAACTAGGACAGTTTTACTAAAGATACTTGAATTTTGAAATGATTGTGTCTAAAATTTTAAAATGGGACACACATGACCTTGTTGTTCATGTTAACTTTTAAGATTCTGATGTTGAAAAGTTATTTTCCTTTGATTCTAAAAAAGAAATGGAAAATGAGTAAGAAAATATTTTGATTCTGAAGTAAAGGGGAAATAAGGAAGAAGATATTTGAAGAATATAATTTTGATTGGCCTGTAATAAACATTTTGAACTTATTTTTCTTCTACCTTGCTACACTTCAACCTCATGCCCCATCATCAAAAAGAATTACCTTTTTCTCCTGAAAAGTAACAGATTTTTATTATAAATTTGATTCAACACAAAAAGTATACAAGTAATTATACTTCTTTTTTTCCCCAATACTTTAGTCAAGTATTTCTTTACATTTAAAAGTGGTGCTATGATATTTGGACTGAATTCAGTCATTAAAGTCATTCAACAAATAATTGGTGTAGGCTCTATAAGGAAATCAAAAAGCTAGTATATTTTCTCTGCCCTTAAGGAGATAACATCACAAGAGAAATGGAGAACTAACTACACTACAGGACAGAATAAAATAAGTGCTAAGTAAAGATATAAGCAAAATATCTTGAAAGTGGAGAAAAAAGAAACCAATTCCCATTTGGGGAATCAAGGATGATTTTGAAGATGAGGTAGTGTTTTAAATGATTGCAACACCTCTCCAAGGATTCTATGCCGTGGGTGCTGGGCTGCCCTGCTGGCTTGTGAGAGCCATGTGTGCATGTCTTCGTGAGCCATCCTCTTTGATGTAATGTTGGTAGTTTGAAATCAGCCATGGAGAAAATATTTACTACAAGGAAGTTGGCAAATGCTGCATGCTGGGGATTTTCTCCTTCCTCCATACCCCAGTTGATTGTTCAGCATTTACCAGCAACCAACTGACTAACCCTTTGACCTGAGTACTGAAAGCAAACAGAGCCACTAGTGTACAAAGGAAAAGGATTACCTACCCACCTAGGGAGGAAAGCCTAGAAGAATCCCTGAGGACAGTCGGTGCTCAGTTTTAGAACTGCTGGTGGGGGATGCAGATGACTGTGTTTACTGAAAAATATAACACTTAACCCTTAAGGATATGAAATTAGAGGAGAAAGACTTTAGTGAACTCAAAACTGTGATTTTAGAAATAAAACATTTTGGCAGTCAAAGTGAAAGATAAGATGGCCACTACTAAGAATCAAATTAGTGACCCAAAGTATCTCAACATATGTAGCAAAAAGGTAAAGAGAATGAAATCATGCAGGAAATTTTAAGAGATATGGAAGAAAGATCCAGAAGATTTTACATGCAAATGAATGATAGGAGTTTCATGAAAAATGGACAAATGAATGGTGATTTTAAAAGAGATAATACAGGCCGGCCCGGTGGCGCACTGCTACAGTGCACCGCTTGGGAGCGTGGCGGCGCTCCCGCCGAGGGTTCGGATCCCACATACAGACCGGCGGCTCACTGGCTGAGCGAGGTGCGGGCGCAACACCGAGGGTTGCGATCCCGTAGCCGGTCCCGGTACGGGCGCGACACTGAGGGTTGCGATCCGTTGCCGGTCATGAAAAAAGACAAAAAGGAAAAAAAAATTTAAAAAACCAAAAAGCTCTCCTATTATCTCTTTTATTTTATTTTTTTTTTTTTTTACCTTTTTGTCTTTTTTCATGACCGGCAACGGATCGCAACCCTCAGTGTCGCGCCCGTACCGGGACCGGTAATGGGATCGCAACCCTCA